GTATGTATGTATGTATGTATGTATGTATGTATGTATGTATGTATGTATGTACGTACGTGTGTGTGTATCCCTAAATACATACACAGACACAAAGATAGACAGACAGACAGACAGACAGAGAGACATAGATGAAAGATGAATGAAAAGTATTCTTAAGAAATGCCCCTTAAAATTCTCTTTATGACATCACTGCTGCAAAAGTTCAATGAGAAAAAGAATGTTATCTCATCACGATGGGCTCTTTTTCCTAAGCATGCTATGCTCAACTCCCCTGAATTTCCTGCCCTCTCTGGAGCTTTTTGAAGGTCTGCCACAGAAAAGAGAGTCTCGATTTACTCTCCAAAGCACGTGAAGGTAGGGCAAGAAGTAACTGGTGGAAACTGGTCACAGGGAGAGCCAACCTGGAATTAAGGAGGAATTTCTTGGCAGTGAGAACAATTAATCCACTCCAGAAGTTGTGGGTGCTCCATCGCTGAAAGTTGTCAAGAAAAGATTGTCTGGGATATAGTAAGGACTCCTTCCCTGGTCACCAAACCTTTGGACATCAGGAACCACTAAATTCATAATTTTAAATCCCGCGGACCACTAATACCGATTTTTTTTAAAAAAATGATAAACAGTATTTAGTGCAATATTAAAAAATGCAAATTATTTTTCTGCGGACCACCAATGGTCCACAGACCATTGTCTTTCACAGCTCAAAACCGAGATTGCTGAAATGACAACTCGGCATGAAAAATCAGATCTGAAGGGCAATATTTCTTTCTCACTCTTACCTCTGTCCACCTTTAATGAAGAAGTTCCCTTTCATTCTCTTTGTTAACTTCCAGCAGTCTGTTAAAAAAAAAAAGTCAGTTTTCCAGATCTGACAGAAGCCAAAATACCTGTGTGGGCCAAAGCGCTGGGCACTGCTACCCAAATTTCTCCAAAATAAATAGAAGAACCAGATATAAACCCCTCTGCCTTGTGTGCCTTTGTTACGATTCACATTTCTGGGTCCCATTTTCCTCCAAATGGTTTTGATTAAAAATGCTTAGCAATTGAAGAGTCCCTTTCCAACGTCCGTCATGCTAAATTATGTAAGATTATATGAGACCAGCAGAACACAACCCCAAAATTGTGTGCTGTTGAACAAATGATGGGGGTGGGTGGGTTAGAGGAGAGCAACTTGTCTCACTGGCTTATTCTTAATTGCTCATAATGGTTCTGCCATATTTCTGCTCTGCAAAAGCTATTGCAAAGTTTAGAGAGTGTTATAGCGCAGGATACAAAGGCCAGCACAAGAGACAAAAGGTCTCTTTGTAACCATCTAGGATTCAGGCCATAAACTTCGGCTCTTCTGCTTGTGAACAGCAATGCAAAGGTTCTGGAGTTCAGCTACTTACAAGACCAAAAAAGTGCCCAATTAAGTCTTCCCCTCCCCCACCTAAAATGCCCTTTCTGGAAATCCTGAGGTCAGCCAGATTTCTGCTCATAAACGTTTGACTGGCATTTGCATTTTCCTGCAGTGCTGAAGGTTGCCTGGCATTTCCTCTGTTGGCTTTCACTGAGCAGTGAAGCCCAGATTTTTTTTACAAGGCGGGGGGGATTGGAGATCTATGTGGTTTTGTCTTTTATTCCTCTATGTGCATTGAGGTTATTTATTTGGTTTTTATTTTGCAAATCACTAGGAGCTGAGCTGAGCAGGACACCAATATTGCCAAACAAATATACATGACCTTGTTAGTTTCCAGCTTCACAGGTAATATATTGGTAAAAAATCTATTCGCTCTTTGACTGTGGATCAGAATGCATATGTGGCGAATAATTCAGACCAGCAGTGAAATAAAGGTAATCGAGTTACGACAGTTCACTTAGTGACTGAAGTTACACGATTAGCCTCCCCAGTGTTTACAACAAAGTCCCAAAATTTCAAATGTTGCATTACCACGCCAGTTGTTCGCCCTTATGAATGACAGCAACATTCACTCTATTTCCCGCCCCCCACAACTGCTTCCCACATCCATCCTGCCGTACCAGACTCACTTACCTTGCAAAGATCTGACTCTGCCATGTTTTCTTGCCCTTTGAAGAAGAGGAGAGCAGGACGATTTCGTTTCCAGCATCTGGTCGGTTTGCAAATGCTTTTCGTGCCAATAATGAAGTATTGCCGGGGGGGAGGGGGAGAACGGGACACCGTGATCTCATGCGACTTCAGGCACCCATTCTCTGCAAAAGTGGAGAGATGCCGGAAGTCATGTGAGATCACAGCCCCAGAACCTTTCACTCTGGACTAGAAGACCTCCAAGGTCCCTTCCAGATCTATTCTGATTCTCTTAACGCAAAAAGCACTTGCAAGCCAACCAGACGCAAGAAGCAAAGTCGTCCTGTTTTCCTCTGCCTCAAAGGCAAAGAAACTGTGGCAGAAAGAAGACAGATCCTTGAAGGTGAGTCAGGTGTGGCAGGAAGGGAGGTGGGGGAAGCATGAGTTATCTCAGTGGATCGGGTGGCCTGTTCCATCACTAGACACCCCCCCCACGGCCCTCCCCACCCTAAGATACCTCATGCTCTTAACAACCCGCACATTTGATTAGCAAATGAGAAGGCAAAAGCAGGGAGTGATCACATCCAAGTTACATAATTCACTCCTATGAATCTTCAGAGTTACAAATGTAACTGGCAGTCTCCATTACATCCGTAACTCGAGGATTACCTGTACAGTTTTATATAAAAATGTAAAGGCAAGTGAAAGATCTCTCTATATTCCTATTACCTTTAAAATGAAGCTACTGAATTCTCAGTGTATCTATTAATGCAATCAGGGATGTCACTGGCACTGACAGACAAGATCCAGAATTTGGGGTGGATTTTCTATTTTTAAATATCTACCCACCCCAGCAAGAAAACGAGTAAGGAAAATCAAACATGTTTCCACTGTACCAGATTTTCCACTTTACCAGACCAGCTCTTAGAGAGATGCAAAGTTCCATAACCACTCATTGCAGTACAGATAATCCTTGACCCACACAATTGAGTCCAAATTTTGATTGCTAAGTGAGACATTAGTTACATGAGTTTTGCTCCATTTTATGACCTTTCTTTGCCACAGTTGTTAAGTCAATCACTGCAATAGTTAGGTTAGCCACACAGTTGTTAAGTCAATCTGTCCCACAACCTACCACGCCAGGACACTTACTTTTGGGGATCTAGCAAGCAATAGCAATAGCAATAGCAA